AACGGTGCCCCAGCATGGGGTGGCTCCCAATCCATTGCATTTGGATCTCAAGATGCATTTTATTTAGATAAAATTAAGGCTTTACGTGCTAAAGGTGGTGATGTTATCATATCATTTGGTGGTGCAATAGGTAATTAAAATTTTCTAAATAATAGGAACCGAATTGGCTGTAAGCGTGAACAATATTCCTAACCTATCATTGGAACAAAAAGTGAAGAGATTGAAATATCACTATCAGAGAGTTATTGATACTTACAAAATTCGATGGATTGACCTTGATATTGAAGGATCAGCTTTAAGTGATAGTGGTTCCATCGAATTGCGAAGTAAAGCACTGGCACTACTGGAATCTGTCAACCCATTTTTGCGTATTTCTTATACTCTTCCAGCATTCCAGGGTGGTTTAACTGATTTAGGATTGAATACTCTTAGATCAGCCAAAGATCATGGTGTCAATCTAGATGGTAATCAACTCTTATTAAATAGATAGTGGTGAATATTATGGCAATGAATTATGGTGCTCCAGATGGAGCAAATTCTATGGGAAGATATGCTATCCAAGCTGCTGAAGCAACTGTTGCGCAATTAAAGAGTATTGGATTGGCAGAAGTCACTCCTGATGGTCAATACCGAGGAACCAAAATTGGAATCACTCCAATGATCGGAAACAATGATGTGGCAGGAGAAGTCTTCACCATTGCGAACTCACATGAGTTGGTGGATTACGCTAAAAAACAACCATGGATTAGAGTATTATCTTTTTGGTCGATGAACAGAGATAATGGAGATACTGGGCCATTGTATATGTCTAATCAAATAACCAATGAGAAATATGCATTTGCAAAAATATTTAAAGATTGGGCATCGTATAGTGATTCTTCATCAAATTCAAATTCAAATAGTAATTCGGGAAATAATGGAAACAATGAATCCCCTCCACCAAATAATGATAATAACCGACAAGGTTTATCAACCAAGCGTAAAGTTTTGGCACCATTTGTAGATGTGATGTTGTGGCCTACCTTTGATATTAATGACGTTGGTATTCCTTTCTTTACACTTGCTTTTGTCACGTCTGACACTCAGGGAAATCCTGCCTGGGGATCTGTTGTTCCAACCAGTGATGGATTTTATTTAGACAAAGTGCAAAGGCTAAGAGAAAGAGGTGGTGATGTAATTCTATCTTTTGGTGGCGCTACGGGTGTAGAACTTGCTGTTAGAAACTATGATCTTAATACTCTTGTTCAGAAGTACCAATCTGTTATTGATAAATATCAACTGAAATGGATTGATTTTGACATTGAAGGAGCGAACTTGCCAGATTCAGCATCCAATTCCAGAAGATATTTGGCAATTGCTGCACTGAAAGCAGCAAATCCAGGACTGATTGTATCTCTTACTTTGCCTGTGACTACAAGTGGTTTAGATCAGAATGGAATTAATTTGCTTTACTTACCTGAGTATCAACAAGCTAAAATTGATGGTAATTTCTAAACTCGCTTAATTTTTATTAGTTATTAACCTAATGACGATGGACTATGGTCCGCCTATTGATAATATGGGTCAAGCCGCTATTAGTGCTGCTAAAGGTGTGCACCAACAACTCGTACAAGTTGGGGGGCATGTTCCTCTCATTGGAATAACCCCAATGATTGGTGAAAATGATGTACCTGGTGAAGTATTTTCATTGCAGAATGCAAGAGATGTAACCGAATTTGCCCGCAACGATCCAACAATTGCATGGATTGGGTATTGGTCTATTAGTCGTGACACTGACCAATGGGGTCCTTTGTATGCTTCAAGTCAAATTAGCCAAAACAAATACGATTTCGCACGTTCATTTAGTGGCCTTGCATCAGATTATTCAGTGAAACTTGTAGATGATCACCCTAGCTTGAAATATCCACAACCAGCTGAAAAATATGGAATAGAGGTTGCAAAGAGACTCCCAGAAAAAGTTTCTGCCAATAAGAAGCCGGAAGAAAAGAAGGCGGAGGAGAAATATTACAATTTTTCAAAGTATGCTGATTACCATGGTAAACTAGCTGTTCGACGAGGACAAGAGAAAATAGTATATGCCAATCAAAACTCACCACCTTCTCGGAAAGTAGAACTCAACTCCAAACTCTTTTCACCTCCATTAACAACTGGAAGAATATTTTCACCCTACGTTGATGTATCATTGAAACCCGAATTTGATACATTGGATGCCCATGTTAGAGTATCGTTATCCAAATTCACTTTTGGATTTATTATTGCAGGAAAGAAAAAAGCAGCAACTTGGGGTGGAAAAATTGCAATAGATTCTCAGCATATAATTGAAGAAATTGCTGAAGTTCGCAAAAATCATGGTGATGTTATATTCTCATTTGGTGGATTAAAGGGTATTGAAATTTTATTCATTGACTATTAGGTGTGGAACTAGCTTTAGCGATCAAAAATATTGATGAATTGGTGAAATTGTACCAAAGTATCATTACTTTGCATTCGATAACTTGGATTGATTTCTTTATTAACGATTCCGCATTGGAAGATGTGGACTCTGTACAACGTCGTAATGAAGCAATTGCTAGACTTCAAAAAGATAACCTTAATTTAAAAGTCAGTTATTCCCTTCACACATTCCCAACTGGATTAAGTCAAAATGGACTCAATCTATTGCAATCTGCTGTAGATGCTGGTGCTCAGATTGATCGTATGCATAATTTATCTAATCATATAGTTGTTAATATCCTTGCCATGAACTATGGCAAAACAAATGCTCCGAATGGAGGTGTAGCAGCTGGCGCATACGCAATTCAAGCAGCATCTTCCGTATCTAGTCAATTGGACATATTAAAACTAAATTCTTCTATTGGTATTACTCCAATGATTGGTCAGAACCATGTCACAAGTGAATACTTTACACTTGCAGATGCACAGCAAGTCATAAGTTGGGCACATACTAAAGATTGGGTTCAGTTTGTCTCTATATTCTCTGCAAATCGGGACACGAAGGATTTGATCATTGATGCCAACAATGGTACTGCTGGAGGATTGAATCTCCAGTTTTGTAAGGTGTTCAGTGGCTTTGAGCATTAACAATGCCAAGCGTGTTTTTGGTTGTTTTAGTTAGTAAATAAAGTTATTTTCATTCAGCAAATACAGTCTATTGGTATTGAATAGTTTCCGATGAAAGTTTCCGAGAAATTGACGTTTGTTGTGATTCCAATACTTGTGATATGCTCAGCTATCGTGATATCCAACTTCATTTCATACTACCTTAAATTACAAGAAGATGATAAATTCTTTGCAGAATTAAAACAGTCTGAAATTGCACCAATTAGAAAGTCTTATAAAACGCAAAAATCAAAATTCACTGGACCAGTCCACTTTCATCACGTAAACTAATAAATTCTTTTGAAATGATTTATTTATTTTTTATAGTTTTACTCACTCTTGCAATACTTTGACGTTTGAATGATTTAGTGGTTTGTGTAACATCATTTGCTGATCTAAAAATTTATCTTTCAACGATTTTTACTTCCAAATGAAGATTGAATTGAAAAGAATAATCAGTGTATTTCTAATGACGATTTTGGTTTTTGGGTCGTTAATTGTCATTAGAGTTTGGAAGCAAATGAAAAAGGAAGATTCTGATGACAAGTTTTTTGAAAGTGTTCAAGAAAGTGATCATTATGCTCCAGAACGAACTTCTTATGAAACTCAAGAATTAAATTTCACTGGCATTAAGCATTTTCATAGTCAAGGGAAGAGTAATGATCAATAAATCTGTATATTTCTTACAACCAATCTGGTACACAATTATTCACCAATTATACTACTTTTTTAAAGAAATGCTCCATTTTCTTCATTCCCTTAACATTCACTTTGCCTAGTTTGGAATTTGTTTGCTTTGCCTGGGATCATTAACGTTTTATGATAACCTTTTTAGCTGGTTTCTGTGAGGATCCTGTATCTGTACCAAGAGAGTGCTTGTTTATACTGTCTTCGAAGTATTGCAATTTGTCGTCCTTCAAATCGGTCAAACTACAAATAGTTAGATTCAATCACAGTCTACTTGAACTCTTTCAATAGCATATCAACATGGGACTTTTGAAGATTATCTGATAGTAATCGTATTGCTAGTTTATGCTGTTCATCTACTGTCTCCTTTTTGAACAATTTCAATGCTTCCAAGTTTTCCATATCCTTCAATAGACTTGATACTTTCTTTTTCAGCCAAATTAACAATTTGTCATTGCTTAATCTAAAATATGTTTGATCATCAATACGTGTTGCTTTCAAATTAGTTTATACGAATCAATTACTATCACAAATGGCCAGTAAGTTATTGGAAAGTTCTGATATACGATGAAGCCCTTGAAGGTGGGGGAATTGATCATTGAACAAAATATCATCCATGGCTACGAAGTTGTCCTAAGAGTTTAGTTTATTAGATGATTACTTTTCCATCTAAAAGAGGAATCAGCAAGAAGTTGAGATCAAAAGGAGTTGCAGTATATAAATCCCCATTTTGAACTATTCTTTCACCAATTACCCAAGAATTTGTGGTATTACTAAACTTTTGTAATTGTAGTAATTGAGAGGTACTCAACATAAACAACATACTAACGTTGTTAGGGTGAGGAAGAGAGATGATTGAGGTTCCAGTTTCGATATATGGTCCTTGAGGAAGGACAATCACTTTGATGTCTTCTGTTTTTGTCATTGATATTCTTGTCCGATCTATGAAAAGAAAGAATATCATCAAAGTGACATATTGGGTAGTTGACCTTTATTCTAATAAGAGCAGTTCTTTAGCTCTGAAATAGTAATTATATAGACTGGTGGTGATAATGGATACTTCAGGGTATAGCCAAAACAATTAGTTTCTATTTTCTGCTATTACTCAATAAATATTTATTGTGAAATTTTTTGACAGATACCGCAATTCTCAATAGGGAACTTGTGGTGTTGAAGAGCTGTTATGGCTCGATTTCTACTTCTGTACGAAAAAAGTCGGTTTGACGGAGTGGTTAACGTGTTGCACTCGAAATGCAATCCTCTCTGAGGGCACAGGTTCAAATCCTGTAGCCGACGTGTCTTTTTCCGTTTTTTACCATACACTTTACTACTATACACTGACACCACTTCTTACCATTACCCATTCTGTTTTTTGCCTATTCAAAGAACTGTGTGTAATGTATTTGGTTCCCTGATAATAAGTAAGTATGATTTAAATTACACATTCCAACACATTCCCGATTTTACAAACTGACCATGAAATAAGAAGTTCGAAACCTTATGAAACTGTTGTAGAATCTAATTCAATGAAATGTACACTAATAAACTGGATTTTGATCCCATGAAGAACTCATTGTCCAAAATACCAAACTAACTGATACTGTTTATTTGTGTGTTTGAAATCACATTTAAAACCAAAATTAACAAAGAGAGAATCCATCGAAAATAAAAACTTCAATAGAGACTTTGCGATGACATACATTCATTTTTATTATTTGATCAAAGTTTTCATTTCTTGATAAATTCCTCCCTCTTGTTAAAACTATGAACAAATTACCAACTGAAATATGGATGCTAATTGCAGAGTATCTCACCCATCAAGATTTTGTAGCCTACTGTTCAACTACAGCAACACCTGATACTATTACACAACCTCACAACCTTTCTTACAAATGGGACAAGTACTTGTTCTCCAGGTCTTTCGGTAACCACATCACAACCTACACAACTTACTTGCAAATGGGACAAGTACTTGTTCTCCAGGTCTTTCGGTTTAAAGGTGGATAATAGAGAAGCACTACAGCATTCACTTTCCAATTCATTGGTTGATGCCAGGTCTTTTGGTTTAATGGTGGATAATAGAGAAGCATTACAACATGCACTTTCCAATTCATTGGTTGATTCTATCTTACAAATACTCTCAGGGTGATTTGGAAACTTTGATTAGCTCTCTGAATGGAACACATGATGCTAATATTGTTCAATCTATTATAACTAACAGTTTGGATGGCATATATAACTGGGAATCTATCATTTGCTCAGCAGTGCGTTCAAAGTCGGATACTGTAATTCAACTTGTGCTGGATTATTGTACAAGTGTTAAACCGCAATTACCTTATCTTGATGAGAAGATATTCAATATTGAATCATTCAACTTGGATCAACTGAAATTGTTTCTAAAGGCCGATATATTTCAAATTAACAACAAATTAGTTATACTAGCAATTTCTTCAAACAAATTGGCAATTTTACAGTATTTTATTGATTTGGGAGTGCCATTGGTAGACCCGTCCACTGAATATGAAATTCGGAATACCATCGAGGCAGCAATAGAAAAAAAGTATATTGAGCTATTAAGATATGTATTTCGGCAACCTGGATTATCGGATCCTTATACTAAAGAAATACTCTCAAAGCTGGACTTCTACTGTTACCTGACCCATACCGTTTGCAAAGATCATTCGAATTCGACCCGTTTCCATTGGTAAGATTTCGAATAGCCTCACAAATCTTTCAAAGCAACGAGAGGTGGCAAGATAATTCTTGCTACACTAATTCCAGTAGTTGCGCAAAAGACATCAGTATATGTGAAGATTTAGTGACATTGCAATATCCAAACAATAATTTTACACCCGAGCAACTGATGAAGCTTTATATCATATCCGGAAACGTTTCGAAGATTGAAGACTTGCTTGATTCGTCAGACATATTGAGTACTGGTTCAGACCAATTCTGGAGTGAATGCTGGAGTGAAATTGGAAGAGATCACCATTATCCATTTGCCAAAAACGTACAGATGCTCAAGCTATTATTAAAGAACAATATTGTTGGTCGTAGAAATTATTTCTGCGAACTAGCCATTGATGGCGAAGATTTTGAACTGATTGAACTGGTGATCCGTCATAATCTAGTAGAATACGGAAGAGCATTTCAGGCCATGGACAAATGTATACAGTTCAATAGGCAGGATTTGTTTCCTTTGTTGGGCCAGATTTCGGAATTGTATGAATCAGATGTGGCATTTGACAAGGATCATTTATGGCTCACTGAAGACGAAGTCGAATACTTTAGACAGAACGGACTAAAGCATGGCTTGGAAGAGATAATAGATGATATGGTAAGGGTTGGATACTTTACTTGGGATGAATTGGTGGAAGATTTAAGAGAGAGTGATGAATGGTGGATTTGTGACTTTATTTCCGAAACCACTGTCGATATATTGGTTAGAATTCGTGAACATAGTGGAGAGTTAAATCTCAATGCTTTTGATGATGGAGATTACAGAACTGCTTGCGAAAGCGCGATTCGAAATGGAAATCTTGAGGTAGTCAAATATATATTGGCATCAGACGATTTTGATGGTTTGGAATCTGACCGTATAATTGATATGATTAACCACGAATGCATGATGGAATATTTTTTCTTTGATTGTGATATCGAGTACAGAGCCAGTGTTCATGAAGAAAATTACAAATTAATGCGTGTCGCTTGCAAAAAGGGTCATTCCTCTTTTATCAGAAGAGTAATAGATGAACTGAAGCCTGATGTGTTCTACAACAATATTGCACCAATTCATTTGGCGATCCAAAATGGTCATCTATCAATTGTACAAATGATCATTGAAGAAGCAATGAAGTTGGGAATCACGGATACTTTATTTGATCCAAATCAGTCTCTTATTGAAGTCGCATGTATATTTAATCAGCATAGCGTTTTGGAATATATTCTGACACTTGGTAAAATTGATATCAATGCGAATGGTGGATTTGCGTTAGTATCATCATGTTTGGAAGGAAGCGCAGAATGTTTACAATTGCTCTTAAATGATCCCCAATGTGATATTTCAAACTTACCAGCCAATATATGCACTAAAATGATGAAAGTTGGAAATGCAAAATGTCTCAGAGTGCTTTTCAACGATGGTCGATTTGATTGGATAGACTGGAAAGAAATGTTGAAACAGTCATGTTTATTCGATGAGACTCCATGTGTCGCATACATGCTTGAAAATGATATTGTTGATCCAAACGTGGATAATCAAGAAGCATTCCAAATCGCATTCACATCTGG